TTATTTCAATCAACTCTTGAATAAAAACCTTTTAATTTTGAAAAAAAAAGAGAATATCATTAAATAATTAGCAGACCAACCAAAGAATGAGAATGGATATTAATTATAAAAGAACAAATCAATGAATTTTCTCTGAACAAACTATTTCTTTAAAAATTACATTTTTTATAACTATTTTTTTTCTTCAATCTTATCATAACCGTTTGTCTAGCACATGTTTATATACATTTTATACCCTTATTATACTTTACTTATATACTTATATACACTTGTAGGCCCAAAATTCACTCATGCAGATTAAGTCTAAATTTGTATTATTTCGCTTAAATTGCTTCATCTAGGATTAGAATAATCCAGAAATTAAATATGTTAACTATCAAGGAATTAAATATAAAAATGGAAGCCTAAATAATTAATCAACTGAACTCGGCTGATGTCTCTGCGGTCCTAGGGTATAGAAGGGATCACCAGAGTTATTCTCTAGCGGCAGGTGGTCAAAGGTAGGGTGGGCAGAATGCGAGCTTAATTCCATCCAAGGCTTCGCAAACAACAAATTTCTCTCTCTCATCCTTTCACACAGTTCCCTTTCAACAACGTCCTTCTTGCTTCTCCCAACTTTATTTTTCTTAATTATGCATCTTTTCTTCCGGTTTAGTAACTAGCTTTAGATATTGTCGCAAGCACGCTCATTTCGGATCCTATTAATAGTAATGCGTAGACTGTGTCAAGATTTGTACGAGCAAGACCTCCACCCCCAAAGCCGACGAGCTAGTGCCGGAATACATAGCGTGCCCAGCCAATACAGATCTTTGGAAACCTTTTGTACATTAGTCGAACGTTACACGTTACAGTGATAATTAATTATTATTAATAAGAAAAGTGGCGCCCAACGTATGGGGCCTTAATGGATACAGTTTAATTCATTGAGACTCACAGATGCATAAATTTAACAGTCTTTAACATTTTGCTTTACTCTTTTCAAAGTTCTTTTTTAAAGTTTTAAAGATTCCTGGAAAACAGATCGAGTGACTATTAGTATTCCTGTCTGTCCGGAAATTAAGAATTAAAGAGAGAATTTTTCTAGAAATAGCAGAGAGGACAAGGTGTCTTGAACTGAGGATCGCAGAAGCCGAAACCAGAACTAGGTAGATTTTCTGTCCCGGATTCAAATGTCGAGTCTTCGAGCTAACCACCCTTAAGAAAGTAAATTAGTACATATACTTCTCTATATGGAAAATATTCTGGCATTACTCACGAGCTGTGCCATATCCAAAAAGAGGTTATGACCAAATTTGTTTTCCCTCTTTGTGAATAGAAGATTTATACGCTTTTTAATCTGGAGCTGGAATACAAGCGAGTATGTTTTCGAACAATCCGCTGACCAAGTCCAAATAGAGCAGGTAACTTCTTTCCCTTTTCTTTTATTTCCTAATTTCTGAGAGATTTTGTTAAAATATAGATACCCTTAGTCGTAGAGCATCAAGCTAAGAGTTCAGTTAATATTTCCTGATTACGTTATTTCGATTTTTTTGTTAGTTTCAAAGATTTCGATTTTTTCTGAACCATTATCGTTCCGCTTATATATTTTTTTTAGCTATTGCGTACATTTTATATCTTATCACTGAATCTATTATCGGATCGCTGATATTTTTGAAGAAACTATTATCTTACCGTTGATACACATTTTACTTGCAAAAAAACTAATTTTATTATCGTCCTTATTCATGATGGGGGTAGACCATACTCCGGAAAGGGCAACCGGAAGGGGGTGCAAACATCGTCTGTCCGATATGCAAGGACGAAGTATACATAGTAGAAGTTTGCACTACATCATGTCAGCATGAATTTCATAAGCGATGCTTAGAGGAGCATTGGAAGAAAAGTGCACTATGTCCGGTGTGCAAAGCTTCCTGTAGGCCAACACTCCCGAAGAGTGGAGACAGTCGACAAACTCGTAGCCAAGCGAAGAACCGTCAGCCCGCAGACAACGCGGACAGACTAGTATCAGATGATATAGCTTCGACGTCAGGATACAATTCCAATACCATTAACAGCGGTAATACTAATTCAAGTGTTATTACTGCAAATGCCATTACTTTACTAGCAATGGAGAGAAGATTGCTAGCTACACTTACCGAAAGTATGGCCGATTCCATTCAAAAGTCCGTTTCAGAAGCTATGTTAAGGGTAATGTCCGATCAAGGTGCTAATAGAACTACGAGAGAGCGAAGTCAACCTTTCAATTCTCAACAGTTCGGAAGTGATTACAATAGGATCGACACAAGAGAAGAAACCGGGGTGAATTCTAGGCAAGAGATTTTAGCTCCCTGTTCTCCTGCGTCGCTACGAAGTGCCGAATCTGAGTTATTAAATCGACCAGATAAAGTAGTTCATATTTTGAACGGCTGGAAAATAAAATTTTCCGGTGTAGGAGTGTCAGTAGACAATTTTATTTACCGCGTTGAAGCGCTAACTAGGGAAACATTATGCAACAATTTCACAGTTCTTTGTAGAAATGCTAGCGTGCTTTTCGAAGGGAAAGATTTTACTGGAGATATCACAAGGCGCATGGCGAAGTCCGATGGGATAGATTTTGTTCAGCTTTGCGTCTACAGTTTCGACAGAGTAGGGATGACGGTGATCTTGAAGAGCTGATTAGGAACACCAAACAAAAGCCGAACGAAACCTTCGATTGTTTCTATGACTCCATTACAAGTCTAATCGATCAGTTAGAACAGCCTTGGACACCTCACAAGCTCATTCGGGTTCTTCGAAACAATCTTCGTCCCGAAATTAGACATGAGATCTTGAATATCGACATTCAATCAGTTTCAGAACTGAGGGAGATTTGTCGCAGGCGTGAAGCGTTTTTGTCTGATGTTAAGCGTTGTCAGGGTTATTACAGATCGTCCCCTTTCAACCGCGAAGTCTCGGAATTTAGTCCAGATCAGGAGATGCCTCCAGAATCAGAATCTGATAAGGAAGGCGATATCGAAGCCTTGTCCTTGTTGTGCTGGAACTGCCGCAAGGAAGGTCACAGGTATCAGGACTGTGTAGCCGAAAGAAGAATCTTTTGCTATGGTTGCGGAGCTGCCAACACATACAAACCCGGCTGTAATAAATGCTCAAAAAACTCCAGAGCGGGCGGATCGATGCCGCCATACAAACAGAAGGCCTTCAGTGGCGTTCGGAATCAAGCAACGATGACCGATCCATAGAGCACGCAGCTGTAGTTGCACCAATTTTTTCCCTGACGTACAAACATCCCCAGACTGTCCTTTGCTTCATAGCAAAAGTCCAATATTAGGAAAAATTAATATCCCGGAAATAAACAATGAACAAGAATTAGAAAAGCGGAAAACGCGAAGTTCCGTCCGAATCAAATCATTTTGGCAAGAGGTTAAGGCGTGTAAAGCCGGACTGGAATATATTAATTCTCTACCCGCAGGACCAAAAGATCCTCGCCCCTTTTTATCGATTCGCATGTTCGATCGTACCGTTTACGGATTATTAGACTCTGGCGCATCGATTAGTTGTGTCGGTGGAAACCTAGCCAGTGACATAATTGACAGCAAAGAATTTAAGACCATTAAAGGCAGCGCTACAACTGCTGATGGAACATCTCAGCAGATAGTTGGTCATTTGAAAGTGGAAGTAGAATACAACAATATCAAAAGGTCTTTAAAAATGTATGTAGTGCCTTCACTGAAGCAGAATTTGTACTTAGGCATAGATTTCTGGAAACTTTATGATCTGCTTCCCAAATGCCTAAATGTATCCTCACTAGAATTTGATCCCGACCGTAAGGTTAATGCTGACCAGCATAAATTGTCCGAGTTTGACAAAGCCAAGTTAATGAATGTCATTAACTGTTTTCCGTCTTTCGCTCAAGAAGGTCTCGGCAAGACCAACTTGATAATACACTCAATCGATGTTGGAACGGCCAAGCCGATAAAACAACGACACTTTCCTGTCTCACCCGCAATAGAAAAGGCCATGTATGCCGAGATAGATAGAATGATACAATTGGGTGTGATAGAGGAGTCTGAAAGTTCGTGGTCTTCTCCCATCGTGATGGTGACGAAACCCGGAAAAATTAGGATCTGTCTAGATTGCCGGAAGGTAAACAGCTTCACGGAAAAGGATGCATACCCTCTTCCTCAGATAGCGGGAATTTTAAGTCGTTTGCCTAAGGCGGAATTCATATCCAGCCTTGACCTTAAGGATGCCTATTGGCAGGTTCCTTTAGAGGTTTCATCGCGAGACAAAACGGCTTCCACTGTTTCTGGTAGACCGCTCTACCAGTTTAAGGTTATGCCTTTTGGGCTGTGCAACGCCACAAGTACAATGTCCCGTTTAATGGACAAGGTTGTGCCAGCTCATCTCAGAATCGAGGTGTTTATTTACCTCGACGATTTATTGGTAGTTTCTGCCAGCTTTGAGAGGCATCTTGAAGTTCTCAGAGAGATCGCTCTGCAGATAAGGCGTGCAGGTTTGACGATCAACATTGGCAAAAGTCATTTCTGCATGCTTCGGGTGCGATATCTGGGACATATAATCGGCGATGGTGGGATACGCACCGACCCTGAAAAGGTGGCCGCCATTACTAACTTTCCGTTGCCAAAGACGTTACGAAGTCTACGATCTCCTACTTTCCTATCAGAATACTAGAGGCTTACGCAGCAAGCTCTCTAAATTATATTCTGATAGCTTTTCGTTTGCATCCCAGGTGATTGTGTTTACCGAAACCTGGTTGAAGCTGTCGGGGGCCGTGGCAAGTACAATTCCAGATTCCCAATAGAGCAGGCAGAGTTTTAATGTGATGATGAGGAGGACAAACGATCCGTCTTCTTTGGAATTTATTTTCAGAGTGCTCGTAAAAAAGAGAAGTACAACTAATATGGCGACAGGTACATTTTCTCCAGTGATGCTCCCCTGGCGATATTGCCCCTTGTTCAGCATGAACATTCTCCCCCCCTCGCAAGAGGAATACGTGCGATCTACGAAAGGGAACACCGTCCGGAGAGGATGCTAACCCTCGTGCGCGCCAGGATAGGCGTGCACGACCGGCTGCGGGATGGAGACATATCCATTGGCGTGGCGGGCCGCCGAGGTCCGGATACAGGCGCCTGCTGGCGCTGCTGTGGCTGCCGCTGAGGCCGAGAATCCGAGGGTGGGTTGCGCCTTTGTCGGGGCCGCGAAGAGCGAGGCTGCCCAGTGTGGAGGTGCAGCAGCGTGTGATGAGCCTCCTTGCCAGACTGTTCGCGCAGTACTGGTTTATTAGTACCGCGCGGAGCCGCTTCACAGCCGGCAGTTGGAGAAACCGTTGGCCTACCCTCAGAGCGTGGACTCTCCTGCAGACTCGACATCTGTATATATTGCTCCCGGATGAGCGACGAGGATTTTGGTGGGTCGTTGGAGCCATTGTACACGGATCTACGTTAAAACAGAGAGATGGATAAATATGAAAATGAAGTGTTATGGATGAGGATGAACAAGACACGTGGACGGAACGACGACGTTGGATGACACAACTTAGGACTAGTAAATGTCAATTGGAAGGACTAATCTATTGAGGAGTCACTATGGTCAATGGGCCGTCCATTGGGAGGCGAATAATTTTCGCAGCTTGTCGTCGGATGACGCCCCGTGTTGTGGCTGTCGAAGGTAGAAAACCGCTCCAGGCGGGGTATGGATATGGACCTGACTAGAGGAACTCTGGCTTTGGATGTCAGCCGATGGGTACAACCGCCATCAGTCGTTTCGACTCGGATGAAAATGGCAGCCCCATACGCGTCCTGGTACTGCAATTTGGCTGCAGGATGGAAACGCACCCATGTCGGACTACGAATTTCCCTCAGGATTGGATACCCTTTTACGAACTCTTGCCACTGGGTTACGAGGTCGGTGGGGAGTGGTTGATCCCAGCCCGGGTCGAAGAGCTTGGCTATCTGAGATACGACCTCTCGTTTGGAGTAGGCAGTTATCGCCGACTGCTGAGTATGAGCCCCTGCGAGCACATCGTCGATGTACGTAGAGTTCGAGATGATGTCGCTGGCCAAAGGATATTGGCCTCGGATGTCCTGAGCCAACTGCTGTAACACTTTGATGGCCAGGAAGGGCGCACAGTTTACGCCGAAGGTGACTGCCCGAATTTGCCGGTACATCTTGGTGATGTCCGCCCTAAACACATAGTTTAAAAAAACCCATTTTAGAATCTGACTAGTCAGATCGGAGTGTAGTACAGGCCCCGCATGAAGGATATCATCGAGGCTGTTCCCGTTTGATGAGGGATTGGAAGCGTTGAACACGACGCGAACCTTCGTCGTGGTGCTATCTGGTTTAAAGACAGCGTGATGAAAACTGCTGGAGTCGTTTGGAGAGACTTGGTGCAAATGACCTAAATCTGAATACTTTTGACTGACTGAGTCGCACTGCTTCTTCACTGGAAGGATTTTACTCAATCGCATTTCGTTTCGGAGGTACTGAGCTAGTGCGATGGGTCTGGAATGTCCCAGCTTAATATTGTCCGGCTCTTTAAAGGGCAACGAAACAACACATCTTCCATCCTCACTTCTTTTGGTGGATCGGATAAAGTTCTCCTCGCAAACCGAGGTGGATTCCTTTACTAACTTCACTGGAACATCCTCCACCTCCCCAAATTTGGTGAGGATGCTGTCTGGTTTGGACTCGGTCACTGCTAATCGGGCTGAAAAAGAACAGATTCTGCTTATGGGACTCGTTGCAATGGGACCGCAAAGAGTCCACCCGAATATGGTCTCTTGACCAAGGAGTGTTCCACAAATATTGGAATGGGAGCCTCTGAGAATGATTGATGGCAGGATATCGGCACCAATAAGCACGTCAATCGGCGAGCTCCGGTAGAAATCTGGATCTGCTAGTTGCAGAGGTGGAAGACCCTTTAATGAATCCTCTGGTATAGTGTAGGATGGGAGATTACCAGCTAGCTGGGGTAACACGTATGCACAGGTTTCAATCTGGATATGGGGCTTGACGGGAGAACCTATGTTGAGTTGACACCTCTTACGAGGCTGAGCGGCAACGGAAAGGTTGACCCCCGAAACTTGAGCCTGGATGGACTCATACGGCAACTTAATCAGGTTGAACAACCGTTCTGAGATGAAGGTTGCCTCGGAACCTGAGTCAATGAGTGCCCGTGCTGAGTATTTTATGCCCAAATGGCAAACTTCTATCAATGCCGTACTCAGTAGGACCCCTTGCGTGTTAACGGCAACGAAACAGTTTAAGCACAACTTCTGCTGTTTTACATGTTTCTCTCGATCTGCGACTGACATGCGTAAGAATAGAGGACATCCTCGGATTGGATGGTTCTCCTGTGCGCAGAGTTTACAGGATTGCGGGTTTACCGTAACTCTGTTCTCAAAGGTCTGGATTGACCGCGAGCTATTGTCAGCCCTCAGTGCCCTGGATTGAACGCTCGCGTTCGGCTTGAACTCTTCAATCGCCTCAAGCGTTCGATGACGATCCTTTAAGAAGGCCTGGAATTCAGCCCAGAGTGGAATCTCTGACTTACTAAGCAGGGACTGTTCCCAAAGAGCCAAAGTTAGTTTTGGCAACTTGGACGAGCACAGGAAAACAAGCAGGCAATTCCAATTCGTGGTCTCGACTCTTGCTAATTGCAGGGCCGTTAAACAACCTTGGATTGTGCTCTCTAAATGCTTCAAGGATTTTCCGCATTCCTGGGCAACAGAAGGCAAATTAAACAAGATCTTTAATAGGCTATTGACTAGCATCCTCTTGTTCTCGAACCGATTCTGCAAGTTTATCCACGCTGACTCAAAACCATCATTGGTCAACGGAGATAAGGCCACAATGCATTTGGCCTCGCCGCTCGTCTTTGCATTGAGATGGAACAGTTTTTCGACTTCTGAAAGCCGAGGATTGCGTATATAGATGGCGGAGAAAAGGTCCCGAAATGTGGGCCATTGAACATAGTCACCATTGAAAACTTCGCACTCGACTGGAGGTAAGCGACATCCGCCCTGAGACGGCGTCAGATTGGAGGACTGAACAGACTGTTGTGCGTGTGAATCTGCAATGATCTCATTGAGGCTTGCTGCGCACCGCTCGTAAACGGTATAACAGTCGTCATACTTGGATTGCATGGCTGTTATTTTGTCTTTGCAGGTTTGACTGGCCACAACTTCGGAGCACGTCTCATATTCCTTTTCCACCTTGTCCCAGAGGGCCCTGATCTGCTCGAGTCGAACCCTACTCGTGTGGATGGACGGATTTGTGTCCGCATTGGTATTGATTCTGGCTTCAAACTGACTCACCCTATCGGTTATGGTCGTGAATTTCCTCAAGGCCTTGTCTCCCTCAGCTTGAGCCATTCTGCCACTTGCTCTAGTGAAGTAGGCAGATACGACTGACTTTGCGGCTTTTGTGGATGGTGCAGACCGTGGAACTTCAGGCGACGTGCTCGTAGATCTTAGTGGAGTTGCGGTTGTCAATGGGCCTTTGCTGCGAGAGGGATTTTCGCTTTTGGAAGGCACAGTAGATTCACTCTTTGCCCTGACTCTGTGAGACTCCTTTGCCTTAGAAACGGTCAAAAGGGATTTTGGTTCCTCACCGTCACCAATTGGCATATGAAGCTCTCGTAGGAGCCGGAAAATGTAAGTGTGTGAGGTAGTCTATCGACTTTGACGTGGTTCGGAGAGGGGCCGCTGCAAAAGCGCAAAAAAACAGTTAATCGAAAAAAAATGTTATCGATTTTAATTAGTACGGGGACGCTGGATGAAGCGTTCAAAATTTATGGTTATCGATTTTAAATCAATACAGGGACGCTGGATAAAGCGTTCAAAATGGTTATCGATTTGAAGGATAAGGGGGCGCTGGATGGCGCGTTGACACGGATGTACTCGGTTCAAAAGATATGGGGGCGCTGGATAACGCGTAGAAAAAAATAATCGAAAAAATACTCTCGATTTCCAATTGATACGGGGACGCTGGATGACGCGTTGGCACGGATGAACTCGGTTCAAAGATATGGGGGCGCTGGATAACGCGTAGGAAACCAGAGTTAATCGAAAAAATTATATTTATCGATTTGAAAGAGGTGCAGGGGCGCTGGATAAGCGTAGGAAAACAGAGTTAATCGAAAAAAAATTATATTTATCGATTTGAAAGAGGTGCAGGGGCGCTGGATAAGCGTAGGAAAACAGAGTTAATCGAAAAAATTATATTTATCGATTTGGAATAAGTGCAGGGACGCTGAATAAGCGTAAATAAACAAATAATACTCGAAAAGGATGTTATTGATTTTAAATCAATACAGGGACGCTGGATAAGCGCAGAAAAACAGAGTTAATCAAAAAAAAAATTATATTCATCGATTTGAAATAGAACAGAGAAAAAAATATGTAGAATGAATTATTCGGAGACCAATAAATGTTTGTCGAAAAATACTGTGGAGTTGGAAAGTGAAGACAAAAGGATTAATCGAAAATGTATGCTTATTGCCTTTGAAGATATGCTTGGACGCTGGATAATGCGTACCAAAAATAATCGGAACGGTGTACACGATTCGAAAAATTAGGTTGTAAATTAGTCGAATTGAAACTCAAAACCAATAATACAAAAAAAAATGCACCCAAGTGTGAACGGCTCATTAACAGACTCAGCCGCGTATGGTAATAGTGTCGCAACCTTGGCGGCCAGTACCTACATACATATGTATTTACGCAAAATAAACAAACAAAAAAAACTATTAAAAACGCAGATTTTTAATTTGTTTGTTTCACTTGGTTTTGTGTTCGGATGCAGCGACACCGATAGCCGCCGAGTCTCAATTGCCGGTCCGCCAAATTTGCATGAATATGTGCATATACATATGTATGTATTGATATGCACGTATGATCGGCCAGCTGGAGGAGGGGGTTAACTTTATTTATCTTTTTGTTTTGTTGTTGTGGATGCAGTGGATGGAAAATATGAACATATGTATGTTTGTGGTGGGTGGAATATGATCTTTATTTATTTTCTCTCTTCTAAATGCCGCCGATTTGTGAACCAAAGGTGATGTATGTTCAAAAATCGGCAATGTTCGTACATACCTATGTGCGTATGCAAATTGTGTAAGTATGTACGTACATATACTACGGAATCGGTGTGGATGTATGGTTTTTTATGTATGGAAAAAAAACTGGATGTAAACCTTTTCGGATATTGGCTGATTTAGAAAATAGGAAAGGGGGCATATAGCCATGTAAACACATGCATATATATACATACACTACTGCCCAAGTTGGTAGTGTTTTAAATAAATTGGATGCAGGAGTATATCTACATATATATGCATGTATGTACATACATATATGATGGGAATTTCGGCACCGTACTTATCTTGGCAAAAAAGGCGCTGGAATATCTCGGGCGAAGGACTAAAAATGAAGCTGTCGGGGGCCGTGGCAAGTACAATTCCAGATTCCCAATAAAGCAGGCAGAGTTTTAATGTGATGATGAGGAGGACAAACGATCCGTCTTCTTTGGAATTTATTTTCAGAGTGCTCGTAAAAAAGAGAAGTACAACTAATATGGCGACAGGTACATTTTCTCCAGTGATGCTCCCCTGGCGATATTGCCCCTTGTTCAGCATGA